TCTGAGATTAGATAGTGCTAAGTAGGGCCGCCTGTGGGTTTTCGTATATAGCTTCAGGGCTCTATCCCTTATGTATTTTTTTGACCGGATCTATTCTAAGATCTCTTAGCATGTCATTCGTGCAGACATACCATAGCACATTTAGTATAATTCAAGAAAATAAAGTTATTGTAAATAAAGTAATCTTCTGCACTCCAGCAAAATATCAAGATATTTTTCCTTCGACAAGTTTCAATTCAAAACATAAAAACCATTTTTTGTAAGAATTATATTGAAACGGTTTTTAGTTTTTATTTTAATACAAACTAGTCGGTATTCATCTTCTGTACAATTATGCACAGAAATAAAGTAATAAGTAGTGTTTCATCAAATTTAAAAACTATTTTTTAATAATATTTTTCGGATCTAACTATACGACTATATATTATAATTAACGATAATCCAATAGCATAAAGACATTCACACAAATTCCAAGAAATATTTTACGAAATCAAAAATGTTAATTACTTCTCATATAGTTAAATTGAATAATTTAATGAAAAGATAATACTAATCGGAATAAATCGAATATTACTTTTCAAAATGAACGATTTATATTCGTTCATTAAATGTAAATTTTTTTAAATAAATTATTTTATTTCTACACTATGAACTCCTAAAGCAATTAGATTTGGTCTATTAGATTTGTGCACCAACGCCATTTGAAATCAATTTTGTTATCACTTTACAGTGGCAGCTAAAAAAAATTGGAAAACATGAAGTACAAAAGTATCTGATATGGAAACCGAAATATGAGCCTATGAAGGATGTGTTCAAATTGAAATAGTTTTACTAAGTCTCGAACTAAGTAAAAAACTGAATTAACTAATGAATGATGCGATAACACACACTTCTTATCAGTTCTGTGCATGAAACGTTCTCGGCAATTGAAAAAGATTTAGAGGAATACAAAATCAAACTTCTGCTGACAGTAACAAGATTATGTAGTCGGACTATGAGGGTATCATTGCAAGTGAACTTTTTAGAAAAAATATAAAGAAATAAATGTAAAGATGTCATTTTCAAGAGGATTGAAATTTATCAGTTTTCTACGAGTATGTATTCTGTGGGTTGTTTATTGTTATTCCATTTTTTACGTAATCTACAAAAATTATATATATATTTTATTTTTGTAGATTACGTAAAAATATATATATTTAATGGTTTTAATAGAACTATTTTAGCTTATTTTGTAGAAATTTTAATTACTTAAACTGATTACTAATTAAATTTTATATGAAAAATCGAATATACATTTGAACTTTGTTATGTTTTCATGGACCTATTTCAGCTTATTTTGTAAAAATTTTAATTACTTAAACTGATTACTAATTAAATTTAAATTAATATTTTTAATTGAATATATTTTTGTACTAATGATCATTATAATAGAAAATATGATCTTTTGTGGCATAGCAACAATCTTATTCCATATTGTATTTAATTCATTACTAGACAAATTTAAACTTGCAGATTTGGTATATTGCATAGATAACAGAATTTTTTGCTAAAAGAAACTTTTAATTGATGATAAGAAACTAAATTTATGAATATATTTATGCAGAACATTGATCAAAATTGAAAATTGAAAACTGATCCATAGTTATTGAAGATTTTTATCTATTTTATCTACCAGAAGTTATTGGTAGATTAATTGTACATTCGAGATGCGCAAGTATTGGGGCTGATTTAGGCCTTAAGAAAAGGATTCATTGTAATAAATTAATTTTATTGTACGTCTTGTGTTTTAAGGAATTTTATATATTAGAATTAAAGTGTAGTTATCTTCTGACAAATCCTCTAGATAACTAATAATAACATACATTATTATTCTCAGTTTAACTAAAATACTTAAGTTATGGGTTTATTAATTAATTAAATTTAATTAATTAGTTTTTAATGTTTTTTATTTTAATATTATATACAATTTTTCATGTGAAAGATATCAAACAAATCAATTTTACATACATAGGCAATATATACAGCAATATATATTTATAATTTAACATAAACTTTAATTATATAATAAATAATGTATTAAAATTTTCTTTTCGAACACTAAAATACAACAAAAAAGAGATATTTTGTTATAATTGTATAACAGAAATCTCATAATATTAAGCGCTTACTATATTCAGTAGGTCAATAACCATTTCATATTGAACTCATTGAAATAGTCATACTTTCCTATGAAGATGTTGTCATCAATCCAACAATTTCAGTTTAAGCATAACTCGATGCATTGTACTTAAGTAGGATATTTCCATGGCAACCACGATCATATTGGTATACGCTACTTCATATACCAACATAACCACTCCTCGCAAGGCATCCAATTACAATTCAGATAGCGTACGACAGTAGTTAAAGCAAAGAATGCAATCAAAAAATAAAGCAACTTAGGAACAAAAGTAGACGCACAGATAAAGCGCACCAAAACTGGGTTTGGTTTTATTTACCAAGTCCTCTCTTCCATTTCGGTTTTAAAAGGTTTTTCAATAGAAAATCAGAAAATCAAACAATTTCAGTTATTTTTGCTTTTTATGTGCATAAATTTTGTATATAAAAAGTTTTATGTATTTTGTTTGTCCGTCTGGCTGATGTCTATTTGTAAGCTAGTAACGGTTACATTCAAGATTCTATAACGCACGTCATCACCATACTTAGCCTGAATGATGAGACTTATTTGGTTTTAATTCTTTTTTTTGTGTATTCGCCAGATTTGGGCCAACCAAGCAAAAGAGTTGAACTCGTAATTCCAGTACAATGCGTACATTACTCCTAAATACTCGTGTATTTCTATGATTTGGCATCGTATGACAAGTTTGTTCTTATAAATCATCATGTATCCGTATCTATAACTTCGCATTCATCACATAACATGTTGACAAACTTAAACTCAAACTCACTCCTCAAATGAGTGCGCTGCAGTCTTCTGTAATGAAAATAGAAAACATAAATAAACAAATAAGAAAATAAATAAATAAATATTAGAATCATTGGTTAAGGAAGCCTTTGAACACATTTGCGGTTTAGTAGTTTCTGCAGTGAAGACGTATCTGGAAAATTGTTTTCTTGGCTATTTTGGATGTTTTTCCATTTTTGTACTTTGCGTGCACTTAGCATAAATTTTATGACTTCTTCTGTACAAACTAGAAAAACAAACATTTCGCAATTAAACACCAAACACGTGCTTTGCAAGTTAACATACTCAGTGATTACATATTTAATATACCCAGAAGAGGCTGTGACACTTGGTCGATGGTATATAAAATATAAAACTGTCAAGTACTGTCAAGTACTCAGTATTGTAAAGGTCATTGAATTTGAAGATAACAATTGAAACATATACTCAATATGAAAATAATAATATGCTTGAAAAATTAGTGGAGAAAGGAGCTTTGGCAAGATTAATTTTTTAGCACACAGTTCCTATCTGGTCATGGATATTTTCTTTTTTTATTTTCAACTGCAAAAAATGGGATAGAGTAAAACGATACTAAACAAGAATATAGGTGACCACTGTCGAGAAAATTATTGGAAAAATGAAGGCACGAGGAGGTTATTGGAACAAAATCACACAATTTATCAAAAACGTGCTCCGGAAAAAGAAAAAAGACCTGGAGACAAACTAAAGCAAAAAGTAATCTGTAAACCTTTCAAATCGAAACTAAAAAGGGGGGCTTGGACACAGGTTTTACAAAAAACATACGGCAGGGATAGCCAACGAATGATGAATCCTCCTTAAAAGCGGTTCCGTGAGGTATTGTGAGAAGAAAATGGTGTGTTTTAGTCCGTATAGTACATAATAGGAGTCGAGAACACCATACAATGGTCGATTTGACAATACATAAAGCTTCCACCTTCTTACTCACCAAAACAAAAATTCCCTGATCAATTACAGAGTAGTTAATTCCATTTGTCTAAAATAATATTGTTCTACGGTATTTCAAGTTTGGATCCACTCTTCAAATTTTAGATTGAACTGCTTGGACTGTTTTCTTTGCGATTTCTACTCCTTTAGTACTCGTAATAAAAATCTTATAAAGTGATTTAGCCTTTTTTATATAATATGCTAGAATTGAAAGACGTTCCTCCGAAGGAACGAACCGAAAACAAGAAAAAGTACACACATACATATAAGAAAAATGACAAGCAGTGACATATGTCACTGTCAAAGAAGATTTGCCAGCTTTTATTTGTATATGTATCATAGCTTGAGTGGTCATACTTTTATGGGACAACGAATTAAAACAAAAATAGTCCTGCAAAGCAAATATAGCAAATATATCCGCAAAAAATATGTAGTCGTACGTGAGAATAAATATGTAATTCTTTGCACACGAATACACATACATGTGTATGTGCATATGTGTTTTTTAAGCATATCCTAATTTGATTCTATTTTTCAACATTTGTTGTTTTTGTATACGGTAATACCGTTTTATTGTGGTGATCATCATTGCTGCCAAGTTGTCGGCGTCACAGTATGGCGTCCCATATATGCAAACATGTACGAGTTTATTGTGTTTAATGGCTGTGTGAGTGTGCATATGTTTGCACATATTTTATTTATTTGGCGTTAATTTAGTGTTTTTGTTATTATTTTAAAACAAAAAGCAGATAAAATAAAAATTTAACAAATATTTTAAGTTTTCACTTTTTACTTTGCCTTGTTTAGTTGCTACTGTTGTTGTTATTATTATACAACGTTGCATTTCAACTGTTGAAAATATTTTTATAAGTTTTTTATTTTTCTTATTTTTATTTGTAGATATTTAAAATTTGATTTGTTGTTTATTTAATGATTTTGTCAATTCTTTCTATAATTATAAGCACCTAACACAAGCGCAAAATATTTTTATATAAATTAAAAGTGTATTGCAGATTTTTATTGTTTAAGTTTTATTAGTCATTAATTCAAGTAACTTTTTTTTTAAACTGCAAAACATTTTATGAGCTTAAATCTGTTAAGTATAAATTATAAAAAAAGAATGTATTAAAAAATATTTGTATATGTACAGAGTCAACTTATACAAAGACAATAAAAAAGATAATAATTGTCATTGACTTCTATTAGTAAATTATTTATTTATTATAAAATAAAAAGTTTTTGATACAAAAAAATACGTACTAATATACATACCTATATTGAAATTGTAGACAAAAAAATAAATAATGATGCTAGTCATAAAAGTCTAAAGTCTACGCATTATAAGAACACTGATTGATTGTAGTACAAGAACCCTTAAGAAAATAGTAAGCATTTAGAATAAAACTGACAATAACACTTAGTAACTAAGTAAAAGGTTTTATGAATTAAATTGGTTAAATACTCCAGAAACACTTATGATATATTTGTGTATCTACACAGAAGTCTGTACATATCTTGATATTAGAGATACATACATATAAATATTTCAAATTAATAAAAATATAATTTTGTTTTTGTAAATACATATATATGTATATATACTGTATAACCCCTTCATTAGTTTGAAAAATCATTTTTAGAAGCTGGAACAGTAAGAATAATTTATTTTACTATTTACTAAGCAAGAACTACTCTTAACTATTGTAAAGCATTTTTTGTTAGAAAGAAGAAAAACAGGCAGTTGCCTATAATCGATACAAACAAGAAATTATATGTCAGTGATCTAAAAAATTCAAAGCAACGTGAGATAAGCTTTAAAATATTTTAAATGCACACATTTAAACACAAAAAAAATAACTATATATAAACAGTCATAATGAAGTAACAGCAAACATACGGAAATATTTGATATACAAAAAAATTCTTGTTATACAAGAAAAAAATAAAAAAAAATTTGTTTGTTGCTATCGTTGAGTAGAATTAGAGAAATTATTTGCTCTCTCGTTTGCTTCTACAAACGAACACAAAGCACGCGGTTGCAACATGACTGAAGCAAATGTTGTAGACGATCAGTTGGATGAAATACACCAATACACAGAGAGTGAATGAGATGAGTGATTTAAATCGGTTTTAAGAAAGTCAAAAAGTGACAACAATATATCCAATAGAAACTGAAAACACAAAAAATATGTTTTAATTCAAACAACTTCACTAAGCAGAATTTACACGTAAAGTAAATATTAACATTAACTTCAGATATACAATGGAATATTGTAAATCAATATTATATTTTATTTGATTTCAAAATAAAATCAAATAAAGAACACCGTAAACTTTTATTTATTTAATTATTAATTAAATAGTATTTAATAATATAGTACTGATCATAGAGTTTAGTTGACAACGTATAACTTTGAATTTCAAAAGAAGCCCCACATTACAACAAACATGCTAGAACTGAACCATATATACGCTTGCTGAGTTTCAACGTGAAAACCATATGTATTGGAAGTATATCTTTTGTCTCATACCTTTTTATAATAAATGCTTTTTTAGCTCTTTCTACATTTTCCACATTCACGCACAAATTTTTACCATTCTAGTTGATCGTCTTCCGTGTGTAGTGATGGACGTGTGGCGGGAAATGGAGTGGTGATGTTGTTGAAATAATTTGAAATAGAAGTTAACGGTATCAGCCGGTTAAACTTATTATTCTAATGTGTAAAAATAAACATAATGAAGTAGTTATGACGTCAAATTTATTTATGTCAAACTTAAACAAAAGTGAAACATCCTGAAACTTTCAGTGACTGGTAGAATTTCTTTTTAATTTATGGAGATCTGTATTAATCTTTAAAAAAGGATCATAATAAATTTGAAAGTGAATGTTTAAAAAACTAATTAAAATTTTTTAAATAGTGAAAATCTTATGTAAATAAAATGATTTCGTTAAATCTATAATAACTACAAAAGTAATGTATGTATGTCCAATTGTCCGTTTGTGATTTATGCCACTTCGAAACCAGTAGCTTTATTATTGGGCCAGTATGATTGATCGTTTTTTTTTTTCAGTATAATACAATATATGTGCAATTAAAGGTTGGTTCTGCAATCAAATATAAATTCATTTATATTGGGTTTGATTTATATATTTAAATTTTTTTTCTTATAAAATAATTTTGTTTATAATAAATAAATAATATAATACTAACAAGTATTTCCTTAAAAAAAAGTTTATCACCTTCAAATAATCGGGTTAGAATTATAAAGAATTTAATTAATCATAATGCGGAGAACATTAGAACTATGATTATATACACTCAAGTAAGGGTACTCGAAAGCATTTAAGATTAAGAAATATTAATAAATAACTATTGTAAATTTTCACTCCAATACTACACCAAAATTATTAATTAAAAAAAAATAATAATTATCAGCATTTGAGTAAAAAGAAGGAGGAAAGATTTCATTGTTTAGATGGGAAACATTTTCAATAGTATCAAATTTCATTAGTCTCCATTTTTAAGCTGAGGTCTATGTTTTAACTATATAAAATGTTCAAAGTTTTAAACAATCTATATCTTTAAGATATAAAATGAATATCTCATTTTGTGAGATGGTTTATCTTTTATTTACATGACTCTTTGAACATAATATTTATAACTTCCATGGTAATGAAAACTATTTTTTATTATATAAATGTGTTATATTATACTAACCCATTAAAATATATAAAATATCCAATCATAATCTGGAAATAGTGTTTTTTATGTTTCTTTCAACTGTTTATATTCTGTAACTGTTATTACATATCAAGTTTTATGGATAGATTATATTCAAAAACTTTGATTCAAAAAAGGCAACTTTAAACTTTGATATAAGCAATAATTGGCTCAAGTAAGCTTAATGAAAATTTATATTGATATTTATAATACCATATTTACCATAACTAAATATAAATTTGTTTAGATTCAGATACTATAACACTATTCAATACAATCTGCTATTTCTTATAACATTTCATTCTGTTGAAAGCAATAGTATAACCTAGTTTAATTATATATTTCATATTCTAAAAGATTACTGTAATTGTTTCCGGAAACTTTGTATATGTATATGTATATTTTAAACAAGTATTAATTAATTCAAACTAGTCAAACCAATGACATGCCACTTTTTAAGCTTATTGTGCTTAACAATTTTATTAATTGTTCATATTTAACCTATTTTTCTACATCCAACATTTGGTTTTAAACAATTTCTTCGTTTTGGGTCTACAGCATGTTTTAGATTTGACCACACGCACCGGCCTTATAGCAATAATTGAAAAAAAATTATGCATTAAAAAGCTTCCAACACATGTTACCGTTAATTACGTTGTTGTTGTAATATTAGACCACGTGATATAAAATCTAACCAATTATTCTATGATTTCTATAAATTGTTGAACTATTTAAACGATAATATTTTTAGAAATACGTAAATAATACGAAAAATATTGATAATCTATTGAATCTATTGAATATGTTTAACTTTAGAAACAATAAAAAAAGATTCCCTTTTCAATTTACATTGGCAGACACATTTAAATATTAATTTGTCTTCTTCACATTACAGGCACCCATAGTTTGGTTGTTACTTTTGCTTGCAACAAACACAAAAACCAGCATACAAATTGATTATTCCACAGTTTGTTGCTTGGAATATAATCGTACAATCTGTACTGAAATTTTTTGCATCACTTAAAAAATCACACCGCATTATACCAACAACTATATCAACAAGTAAAAAGCCAACAACAGTAACAAAATTGTATGCTGAATATCATTACCATAATGATCATTATCAACACACTTTGATCAAATTGTCAAACAGTTTCATTTGTATTATGATCTGTTTGTGTGTACAGCGTTGTTTGCTCACTTTTCCTTTTTTATTTCATTTTATTTACTTTTTTCTTTTCAAAATACCTACTTGTTGTTGTTCTTTTTCATCAATGACACACTCTCTCAGTGTGTGTAGTGTGTATGAGAGCAAGTTAGCTCTCTTTAATTTGACTACTATTCTGTTGGTTTTTCAGTTTTTTATATTTCTATTCGCCACAAGTTTTTAAGATGTTGCGGCGATTTTTAAATTGTTCCGCCTTTTCAGTTATTTTGTGGCGCTTGTAAAGTAAACGTTGTTTGGGATAATTTTGTCCATAATGTCAATTAATATATATTGGAATATACTTATATATATATTTGTATAAGTATAAATATATATGTGCGTACATATTATATTAATTTTTAATATAAGCAAACTTGCAATGTGTTACGTTTTATAATACTTTTTAAATTTACTATTTTTGAAAAAACAAAATAATATTTTATAATAATGATCTGTGCATAATAAATACGTTAAATTTAAGTAGGCGTTGGAAGTCACGCTAAATTTCTAGTTAAGATTATGTATAAGTGATTTTTACAAACAATATCAGCGACGGGCATTCAAAGTGAATTATTGTGTAGATTGTGTGAAAAAATTGTGAAAAGTGTGATCTTCATTATTTAAATAACGTGTAATCACAAATATTGGAAGGACATCTGTTCACATCTTACCGGGCAGCATTAGATCATATTTTAACACTCTAATACTGTCAGGTAAAGATGTCGTCCGAGTCCTTATTCAGCAAAATAAGTAAATGCTCCGAATTTTCAAATGAACAATGAACAATAAGACGAAATATCGCAAAAACGGAAAGCGAAAATGGTAAGAACATATAATTATCTGCAATAAGAACAAGAACCCTTAAGTACTGTGTGAAGTAATTCCTGAAGCGTGTGGCTCTCCAAGTCAAAGCACATGTTTAAGCATTCAACCGCACATTTTCGTTTTCGTTTTGAGAACCTAAAATTTGAATATATTTCCTAAAAAAATTTTTAAAAAAATCATTACTGATGTTCTAAAGGGTAAAAAACTTGAAATCATCTTGGGAATTCTACTTTGAATGAAGAAAAATTGAATTTCCAAGATATTATTTAACGGTCAGCACTTAAGGAAATGTATTTCAAACGTCTGTAAATCGTTTCCATTTAAATTAATACTCAATAAATTTATTTTAAAATTACTAACATTCAATTTGCATATATATTATTTATACACATACTATATAGTATATAGATTTATTATGCATATACTATAGACTGTTTGGTAGCTCCGTAACTAGACTTAAAATAAGAAAATAACTGATCCTGAGTGGAGTAGACTAATAGACTTTCAATTAAATGGAGCAATGTATCTAACTTTTGTGATTATTAGAAACTAACGGAAAGATATCTTTTAAATCAGTTTTCACCGTTTAATTTTTGTTTAAATGTAATTGAAAAA